ACAGGGTTCTTAACATCAATCATCAAGTGTGTTTACTCTCTTTCACTCTCTCTCTCTCTCTCTCTCTCTCTCTCTCTCTCCAATCACACTATTGATTATATACTGTATAATAGACCCTATTATATAATACAACTTTTGTGTCTATGTAATATTTTTTTGAGATACAAGTTTTTGCTTTAAATTTCACTTATTTTATTTTTTGGTTTTGTGCGAATTTTTATATATTGGTAGAAATTATTAAACAAACACTCGCTTTAATAAATATAATGAGCATTAGTTCGAGTGATACGGAATCGTCGTCTAACCACACGGATAGTACACTACAGGCGTCGCCCACATCTAAATTAGCGCCCAGATTAAGGTAAATTTTATCGCGTTTAATTATAACATCTTGATAATTATTTGTCTTATCTATTATGCACTCTCTTTTACGAATTTTAATTATTTTGTGATTTAGTTGATTACAGTTGATTGTAATAGCAAACCGCCGACCAAATATTGCAATTAAAATATACTCATAAGTTAGTAAAGTAGAGTTAACTTTTTAAATTATTTATTGAATTTTTGATCTTATAATAATGACAACATAGTAATAATATTATGTTCACTTGCTAAGTTATTTGTAGCTTGATATACAAATATAGATTCTATATTATAAAATATCAAATTATTTGAATATTTAGATTTTTTATTTGTGCATGATAATGATAAATGAGTATAAAATTTGACAATTTATCAGACGTATTCATTGAGAGGTAAATTAACTACCTAGCCCCATTTACCTATTTATATCTATGAACATCACTTATTTACTTAATTATTGATTGCAGCTATAAATAGGAAACACAAAAAATTTTACTCAAATTCTTTTAATTTTATTTGCATTTCAAATGTGTGTTAGAAATGAAAAGTTTTGTGTCTATAAAAGAATGTTAAAAATCTTTGCATTTATTTACATATTTTAGGAAAATTTTCATTTTATTTACGAAATATATTTTATTTATTTTATATTCATAAGAGTTTTATTTTAAAAACATTAATTAAAAACGATTTTTAAATAAAACTTATATTTATATTACAAAATTGTATTTTGCTTGTCGTGTATGTCATGTGATTTTTATTTTACTTTAACTATAAAATAGCATTAAATATGTGATTAATTTAAAATGATTGATGAAATTTGATTGAATAGTATTTTCACCACAATTAATCTCCACTGTCTGTGCAATATACAGTATTTCCTGTCATATACAGTGAGAGGACTTATAAATGACTGGACTTTTAATGTTAATTAAAAAAATACTATAATAGTTAGAGACTTAAAATTATAACCAAAATATAGATTATTTATTCATCTTTAAAGTGACATATAATATGAATATGAAATGATTTGTTTAATTGACTTTTTGAAGAAATCCGTGTCCCTCCCCTCAAAATATATTTCCAGTACCATTAAAATGATTACAAAAATATTCATTCAATTTTGGTTAAAACAAAATAAATACTATTAAAATAATTTTAAAAATATAAATACTGTAATTTAGGGTGTATTATTAATAATGATATTTGATTTCAATGAATGACTAACAATCTGTCCGTTTTTGTGCCATTTTTACCGAAAAATTAGATAATTTTCGGTAAACCTCTTGGAGCTGATCCAGAGACCAAACTTTTTTAAATATTGTTGTTAAATGATTATAAGCATATGTTTGAATATAAATCTTAATTTGTTTTCATTTCTCATTCACTTTTTCAGTTTAATTTAGACATTAAACGAAATTGTATTATTAATTATAAATGTAGACATTTTTCACTGTTTTCCCATAGAACTACAGCATAAAGTGTTGTTAAAGTAGCGGATGTGGTCATTCACTTCGGAACGGGATAATAGCACTTTGGACAAATTATTTATAAACAAATTACAGATATTTTCAAAGTTGAATAAATAATCTATATTTTGGTTATAATTTTACGTCTCTAACTATTATAATATTTTTTTAATTACCATTAAAAGTCCAGTCATTTATAAGTCCTCTCACTGTATAACTTCCAGTAATATATAAGATTTATAAATATATTTTTACTATATGATTACCATAATAGTTTTTTTTAATGTCAAACTGTTCGAGGACATTGTTGCTTTTGTTGCATAACTGTTGGCTTAATTATTTATCATATATATGTTAGAGATATTATTTGTAATTATGAGTTAATTATTACATTAATTGTCTCATTTAATGGTAATAAATAAATTTTAATTAAATAAATAATTAAAAACTTATATATTTTTGTGTTGAGTTTACAAAACCTTTATTACCCGTTTACAATAACCATGAAAATAAACTAAAAGTAAAACTATTTACAAATAATTAAATTAGTTTTATAAACATTAAACTAAAAACTGATTGCAATAAACAAAACATAAATAATTTTATAATTAATTATTTCCGTTAAATTGTAAACATAAAGTTATAATAAAAGTTAATAGTTTTGTTTATGTGTTAATTGGATAAAAATTAACATTAATATTTAACTGTAAATATAACATAATAATAATAATCAAATGTTTCATAAATTTAATCATAAGATAATTGATTTAAATGTGTGACAGTTTTGAGCGATGGACTCGTCGTATGCGATCACCCAATGGCCACGTCTGGAGGTTTGTGGGCCTATCGGTGGTCGTCATCGCATGTCTCCTAAGTCTGGTCGTACTTATGCTAAAACGAGATGGTAA